TTGTTGTTGTTGTTGTTGTTGTTGTTGTTGTTGTAGTAGTAGTAGTAGTAGACGACATTCTTACATTAGTAAGAAAAATTGTCAACTTTTACCACAAACTTGTCGCTTTAACTTGGAGAACCATCTAGTGTCTTCCGTATGTAGAAGTCCATTGCTCACTATTGTGACGGGTAAATTTGATTTGTACTCGAATGATTCGAGACGGAAATGCTTCATTTGATATTTGGTATTTTCGACAGAGGGAGTTGATGTAAGTAGGGGCTCCATTTATTCGAGAGGAAAAGTATTGTCAAAAAACGCAGCTTTTCTTTACACATTCTATGTGAGCTGCAATGGCGTTTTGAGGCCTACTCCTGGCATAGCTCTTAGGGTCATCTCAAGAGACCTTGACTGACTGATTTCACCTCAGGCGGACGCAAATTTCGGCCACCGCTGGGTCCACCATGGCAGCATGTGAGACACCAGCCAGAGGTCACGGACTCTCCCTACGGGCCAGTTAGCCTTGGCCTTGACCCTGGCTAACAGGCATGCCGGCGGAAGTAGGATTCTGTGGGCAGAATGACCCTAGTCCGGAGGTCACTAACACCCCTGGCCGGACTCGAGCTCGGGACGTATGAGCGGAGCGCGGGCTAATTTGGCGCCCAGCAACATACATCGGCAGACTGACGGTCTGCATCATCGTACCACATTCTGCCAAAGCACCTGTGCGTATGTGTGCGAGTCTGTTGGGTAGAGCCAACTCTTTTGTCTCATGGAGCTGGGTTCACGCGAGTCGGTCACACTCCACACGCATTTCGCACACGCTCGGTCGGCAGATTCACCCCCTGACTGGCCGCCCACTCATCTGCCGGTTAACGTCGTATTTTCTGGCGGTTCACCGCCCTCCACAGGCACGTGTGCCGGCAATCCGTCTTCTGGACAACCTCGGCCGGCCAACCCCGCCGCGAGGGGATTCCATTCGGCTTTTTGGCTGTTCCCCGCGCCCCGACATGGGCTATCTCATGTCTCCAGTCGACCGGCTCCGGGTCTCGCAGAGGCCCGCAACTGCCCACTCGGTGTAGGCAACCAACGCTCAGCCCCGCCAGCCTCCCCGCGTCGGCTGCCCAGCTGCCCGGCTCCTGCCTGGCCCGGACGCCTCCACGCCGCGTGATACCAAGAGGGACGATGTGTGCGCGAATCGGTACGTGGTCGTCACTATCGACTGACTATCATGACGACCCAATCAGACACGGTCGCCAGGTCGGTCTGCAGCCTGTCGTTGGGGCGGCAGTAGGCCGGATCGATGCGCATCCGAACCAGGGCCAAGCACGCCTTGGTACCAATTGAACCTTGACAACTCCCCTCGGCCAGAGGAGGCCAGGCCGATCGTCGGCCAATCGATAATAGGCATGAACCCGGTTTCCGGGCCGATGTGTACCTTTTTTCCTGAAGGCACTTTACGGCCGAAATCGGGTCACTGCGTCGCCATGGGCCGTTTGAAGCCTGGGCTCTGTTTGATGTAGCGCCGTCTGCCTCAGGACTCAACAAGAGTCCTGTACTGCGACCTCGTCTATCTTGTTTTTTTCATTTCTCGCCCTTCTCTCCAACCGAGTCAACTGTTCATAAGGCTACAGAAAAGCCAGTTGCGAGCTGGTACACTTCAAACTGGCCAGCAGCCTGGCCAAACCACAAAAGCATTAGGTTCATATTAAGTCATTTAGGCTAGCTGTACCCTCACGATGGAGAAGGCCGGCCAGAGTCTATGGGGTGGCAACAAAGGCGCCCAGACAAAATGGAGGCCAACGCCAGACTAAGCAAGGGCAATGAACAAGAGAAACTGAAAATACCATCTTAGTCAGCCTAGGTCGCAAAAAAAGAGGTTCAAAGAGGGATAACGGAGGTTTTTACCACAATAAAACATGTAGGCCATTAGAGTTCATTTAGTCCTACCTCCCTAA